TTCATATGGTTCATTATTTATTCAGTATAAACAAAAGTACCTGCATTTTAAAATTCTAAATCACTACTGTTGTTCTACATCTTACACTCTGGAAGGTAATTAGCAGTCCCAACTAATAACAGATTGTGGTAGTAAAAGTAACATTATCCATTCAGCAACAACTGATTGCCATAATAATTAGCTTGTTGTAGCTTTAACAGAATGCAACAAAGTGCAATTACAAATAATGGAAGATTTTTATGTACATTCAGCTTTAAAAAAAGTTACTGTAATTTAAGGTAAATAACTAAACACTAAAAAAAAAAGTATATCAAGTTTTTCATTTTGTCTTTTTCATAGACCCCAACCCCCAAAAAAAAAAAACTGAAGGGCTGCCATAACATAATGCCTGAAAACCCTAGCTGCTATCTCTGGAACAAGTATGCAGCAGGTTAAGTCAGTTAGATCTCAATAGGAGTGTTGCAGGTCAGTGACTCAGAAACCACTGAAGCCAGATAAGAGGTGTGCAACTAGCATTTTCAGAAAAACACTGGAAGTCCCCAAACCTCTCTACTGATTAACTTTCTTTAATCACTTGTGAAACAGCCTGTAATACACCTTCATTACCAAGCAATTTTTTTGTTTTCTGTGCTGTTATAGTTTGGCAGACAATTGCTATATAAAATTAATTTTAGACAATTTATTTTTAAGTAGATAGAGATTTTTTAGTGGTGTTTAATAACCATTGTTTTTTTTGTTAATTTTAGTTTAAAAAAAAAAAAAAAAAACAATGTTATTTGCTAAAACTTTTTAACTACAAAATAGAAAAAAATGTAACACCATATAGAATGCCAGCAAAAAAAAAAAAAAAAGGATTTTCCAGTATCCATGATTAGACTTGTGCTATAACAACACAAAGGGGTTAATTTACTGCAATCGGAGAATGTGAAATCTGGTGCAACTCTACAAAGAAACCAATCAGCTTCCAGGTTTTATTGCCAAAGCTTAAAGCTGAACTCCAGGCAAAAATTGTTTTACATGTCCTTGTTGCTGATTTCCTACCTTCAATGAATATATCATCCATCTTCTGGTTCACTCAGTAGTTGCTCTGAAATAGCCTATTCATTTTCAAATGCCATGTCTCCGATTCTCCCAACCACTGGTCTTGGCACATGCTTTCTGTAGTTCTTTCTCCAGGAAGCAGTGATGTCATGCAGCCCTACTTGCAGTGGTGGAAAGACCAAGACTCTCAGACACATGCAATATGTACAGGCCTAGCGTACCCGCTTACGCTCACTACAATTCCATGTGGTTGATGGGAACTGTAGTTTCCTTTTACTGCAGAAAGAGAGGAGAGGATACGATGTAATCCTTGCTGTTACACCTCCTCCTTAGTAGAGCAGAAGCCGCTATCTTTTGAATTACAGAGGTGAGGTCATGAAAATTCAATTAGACTTTTCTCCTAAATGGTAAGGATTTTCAAAATTGTATTCATTGCTTAGAGTTTTGTGTAGGAGGGTGATTTTTTTTTTTTGCTTATCCCAAAGTTCTTCTATAATTAAACACACTGAAGTTGGAAGCTGGTTGGGTACCATGCACAGATGCAGCAGTTTTAGTAAATCTTCCCCACTGTTTCCATGTATTGTAATAAACAAAGGGGGAACAGTGAATTGTCATCCAGCCTGCCTATACTGAATGCTTCATGAAGGTACACAGCTGTACCACCAATCTCCATGTCTAGCCCAGATTACACATTACATACTTCTTTCCTGCACACGCTGCTTGGAGTCATACCCTCCACACTCCTCTCCTACACAGGGTGTCTGCTCTGATACTCTTTGCACACCTTTCCTGCACATACTGACTGCTGTCATACCCTCCACACTGCTCTCCTACACATTCTGTCCATTGTCATACCCTCCACATTTTTCTCTTGAGCACTCTACTCACAGTCATATCCTCCACACTATTCTCCTTAACATGCTGTTTAATCTCATACCTTGCACACCCTTTCTGTACATACTGCTCTGTGTCATACCCTCCATACCCCTATACTGCACAAACGGCCCTGTGATATACCCTCTGCTCTCCTCTCCTGCACATACTGCCCAGTGCTATACCCTTTCACATTTCACTACTCTGCAAACTGCCTCCTGTCATGTCCTCCACAATCCTCTTCTGCACATACTAGCTACTGTTACAGTGAAGGAAATAAGTATTTGATCACCTGCTGATTTTGAATGTTTTCCCACTCGCAAAGAAATGATCAGTCTAAAAATCGAATGGTAGGTGTACTGAGAGACAGAATAGCAACAAAAAATTCAAAAGAAATGCATGTCAAACAAATTATGCACTAATTTGCATGTTCGTGAGGGAAATAAGTATTTGATCCCCTTCACAAAACATGACCTAGTACTTGGTGGCAAATCCCTTGTTGGCAATCACAGAGATCAGATGTTTCCTGTAGTTGGCCACCATGTTTGCAGACATCTCAGGAGGGATTTTGGACCACTCCTCTTGGCAGATCCTCCCAAGTCATTAAGGTTTGGTAGCTGGCGTTTGGCAACTCAAACTTTCAGCTCCCTCCACAGATTTTCAATTGGATTAAGGTCTGGAGACTGGCTAGGCCACTCCAGGACCTTAATGTGCTTCTTCTTGAGCCACTCCTTTGTTGCCTTGGCTGTTTGTTTTGGGTCATTGTCATGCTGGAACACCCATCCACGACCCATTTTCAATGCCCTGGCTGAGGGAAGAAGGTTTTCACCCAAGATTTGATGGTACATTGCCTCATCCATCGTTCCGTTGATGCGGTGCAGTTGTCCTGTCCCCTTAGCAGAAAAACACCCCCAAAGCAGAATGTTTCCACCACCACGTTTGACAGTTAGGATGGTGTTCTTGGGGTCATAGGCAGCATTCCTCCTCCTCCAAATACAGCGAGCTGAGTTGATGCCAAAGAGCTTGATTTTGGTCTCATCTGACCACAACACTTTCAAACAGTTCTCCTCTGCATCATTCAGATGTTCAGTGGCAAACTTCAGACGGGCCTGGACATGTGCTTTCTTGAGCAGAGGGACCTTGCGGGCACTGCAGGATTTCAATCCTTGCCAGCGTAGTGTGTTGCCAATTGTTTTCTTGGTGACTGTGGTCCCAGCTGCCTGGAGATCATTGACAAGATCCTCATGTGTAGTTCTGGGATGATTCTTCACTGTTCTCATGATCATTGATACTCCACAAGGTGAGATCTTGCATGGTGCACCAGACCAAGGGAGACTGACAGTTGTTTTGTATTTCTTCCATTTGCGAATGATTGCACCAACTGTTGTCACCTTCTCACCAAGCTGCTTGGCGATAGTTTGGTAGCCCAGTCCAGCCTTGTAGGTCTACAATCTTGTCTCTGACATTCTTGGACAGCTCTTTGGTCTTTGCCATGGTGGAGAGTTTGGAATCTGATTGTTTGATTGCTCCTGTGCACAGGTGTCTTTTATACAGGTAAAAAAATGAGATTAGCAGCACTCCCTTTAAGAGACTGCTTCTAATCTCAGCTTGTTACCTGTATGAAAGACACCTGGTAGCCAGAAATCCTGCTGAATGATAGGGGATCAAATACTTATTTCCCTCATGAACATGCAAATCAGTGCATAATTTGTTAGACATGCATTTCTTTTGAATTTTTGTTGCTATTCTGTCTGTCAGTATTACAATATTTCCTTCACTGTATACCTTCTGCACCCTTCTGGTAAACAAGTTTTAACTTTGGAAACTCTGGCCACATACCTTATGAAAAACCAGACCTACAGAAAACATCAATAAAGCATTTCACAACTTATTTTGAAAGTAAACACAATAGGAGGATAGCTAACCCTTTTCTCAGAATCTTGAATTACATCAATGTTAACAACAAAAGAAAAAAAAATGTATTGATATATCTTGTAGCATTTCACTCTCCTGGGTCCTCTGCAGCCCTCGACGGTTCATCCTACTGACCGCCAAATCACTACTGTCTCGTGCACAAAATGCTTTTGGAACATTTTATTACTGCCCAGATATTTCAGTTTATCTGCTTTTAAATAATTACTATTATTATTAGCAGTAGTCATAGTAAAAGTTATTTTTTTTTTTTTTACATTTTTATCTATATAAATTGTTCAAACACAATATACATAATACCACATGGCTGTTACACACCACTTAATTGTGGGTCGGAATATAAACATCAATACCAAAATACCAATAAACATATTCCCAAATGTGGGTTTGGGGTTCCAGAAACACTAGAAATGCAGCGCTCTTGAGAAAAATGATAAAAATAGACACAGTCCAATGAAAAAAACAGTCTCCTTGTTTCCCAGTGTAAATGGTAGAATTTTGCACTAACCAGAACGCGCATAGGTAATGCGCATATGTGTATATATCCTGAAGATCCTTTCTCCACTTGAGTCTGGTCAGATATACGGCTTGGAAGAATGGAGATCCTACGCCCTCATGTGGTGGAAAGTGATCCAGCAGGTCAGAGCAATAACGATCTAGGTGAGCCTCCAAAGGAACTGGCATAGGAATCCCCAGGGCTACAAGGATGGAAGAAGCTCCTCACAGGAGACACAGGGGAGCACTCATAGTGTAGTAATTAAAACTTTATTTGAAAACAGCACAGGTGCAGAATACAGTAGAATAGCCAAGTATGGGCAAACACACTGACCCTATTAGATGTCAAAATGGCCGCCGGGCCTCCTCGTGGCACCGGCGGCTTGGTGTCAACGGCGTCCTGGGTCCCACCTGACGCGTTTCGTGCGCACGCACTTCTTCAGAGGTGGAACATAGGAATGCTATGTTCCACCTCTGAAGAAGTGCGTGCGCACAAAAACGCGTCAGTTGGGACCCAGGACGCCGTTGACACCAAGCCGCCGGTGCCACGAGGAGGCCCGGCGGCCATTTTGACATCTAATAGGGTCAGTGTGTTTGCCCATACTTGGCTATTCTACTGTATTCTGCACCTGTGCTGTTTTCAAATAAAGTTTTAATTACTACACTATGAGTGCTCCCCTGTGTCTCCTGTGAGGAGCTTCTTCCATCCTTGTAGCCCTGGGGATTCCTGTGCCAGTTCCTTTGGAGGCTCACCTAGATCGTTATTGCTCTGACCTGCTGGATCACTTTCCACCACATGAGGGCGTAGGTGGGGGGGATCTCCATTCTTCCAAGCCGTATATCTGACCAGACTCAAGTGGAGAAAGGATCTTCAGGATATATACACATATGCGCATTACCTATGCGCGTTCTGGTTAGTGCAAAATTCTACCATTTACACTGGGAAACAAGGAGCACTGTTTTTTCATTGGACTGTGTCTATTTTTATCATTTTTCTCAAGAGCGCTGCATTTCTTTTGTTTATGTATTTTGGGACTTTTATGTGTTTTCCTATATGTTCAGCTGCTTGCATTGTTTATGAGCGCTTACTATATACCATTATTCCCGTTCCAGAAACACTATCTCACAGCATTTGATATTATATTACAAATGTTTGAGAACTCAAGATAACTCCCATCCAGCAGGTTCCTGAATCCAGGGATTACATTAGATTTTCTTATCTGTGTAAACTTGAGACCTGTGTAAACTGGATACACTACAACCTGATGGCCTGAATAACGTATACATTATGTTACAGAAGAATCTATAGAGAAAACTGTATGCTGTTTTCAGGGTAGATAGTATATTCTTTGTATACTTTACATGGATTAGACAAAAAAATGGAAACACTACATGAAGGTGTGACAATGACGATGTGTTTCACGTTGAAAGCGAAAATTATGTAACATTCTTTTGCTTCTGCTGTGTGATGAGACACCTAGTTAACAGGTGGGAAGCCTCACTTTCGTCATTCACTGCATGCGCTGCTAGTAAGATGGGAGTCAAAGCTTACTGAGCTTCAAAAGAGGGCAAATTGTTGGGCCCGCTTAGCTGGTGCCTCTGTGACTGAAGTTGCCAATTTATTTGCAGCGTCACGAGACACAGTATCAAAGGTTATGGCGGCACATACAGTTTACAAAAAAATGTTGTCTGATAAGCATAAGCATGGTCGACACAGTCACCTGACTGAAAGACAAAAGGACAATGCACAGAATTATGACCCAGAATAAGAAAACTATTTCTGCAAAAGTGACTGCACAGCTCAATCTCAGTCCCGTGTTATATTTGCTGAATAAGCCAGTTTGGACTGTTCTTGGGTGATCCTGTTTAGAGCATGATTTACCACTGCTACTACAGCTTGACCCTGTCCTTCTTACAACTTGGAGCTCAGATGTGGGTGGTGCCTTAAAGAGATAAACACCTATTTTTGAACAACATGGAGGAGCTTGTAAAACAATGGATATACGTGCTGTGTTTTAAACACATTTACCTGAAAAAGGCAATGTGTCACCACAAAATGTGTGGTAGTCCCTTTTACTTTAGTGTCACTTTTCAGCCATCACATATGTATTGTCTATCTATGCTAACTGAGGAAATGAATATTAAGTGATATGTTTAGATGTGTTCTCCTTTACAGCACAATACGTTGCTAGGACAGGGCACTGGTCTCCTCCTCCGTGCCCTGATTCATTGATGCACGTCCTGCACTCTTCAATAATGCAGGAGTTCCTGCACTACCATGGATCATGTTACCCGTTCCAGCATAGCAACAAGGAGTGCTTGTCCCCATCAAACTTCAGATTAGACCAGGTAAAGCAGTGCAGTGGGTACTCCCAGGATCCTCTTTGGTTCTGATGAGTCATGTGACACAACAGAGGAAACGTTTCCATCACTCTGCATTAGTGCTGCTCTGCTTGAGTTCTGTTGAGTGCTTGACAAGAGGAAGCTGAAAAGATGGGTATCTGTGCTAGTAGTTGACTGATGTACTGGGTAGTGAGGAATTCCGTGCCGGGTATTTGATGGGCAGAGATCTTTGCGCTGGGGGGACCTTTGTGCTGTAGGGAAGATTTTTGCTTGGGTAATTTTGCAGAGTTGAGTAAGGGGGAGTGTTCTTTGTGGGAAGGGGATATTTTTGCTAACACGTGTGAGCAGGGGTTTTCTTGGGGGTTGGGGGATTTTTCTTATGGGTAAGTGGGGGTGGGGTAATTTTGTTGATGGGTGTGAGGTGGAATTTATTGGGGGTGCAGGTTTATTGCTGACAGAGGGGAGCAGGGGTTCTCTGGTGGTAAAATTGCTAACAAGGGTGAGACAGTTTTCTTCTGGTAAAGAAAGATTTGTTTGGGAAGGGGAAGATTTGTGCTCTGTAGTATTTTGCTTGGGGAGGTATTATCAGGGAGGATGAATACATATTCCTGACCTCTGTACTCTGTATATTACATACTCTTGACCCCTTCAGTCTGTATGTTGCATACTACTGACATCTGCATATTGCATATTACATACATCTGACCTCTATCCTCTGTACTTTATATATTATTGACGCCTGCGCATAAACATACTACTGACAACCTGCTCCCTGTATGTTTTACATTCCTGACCACTGCACTCTGTACATCACCTACTACTGACCCCTTTAATCTGTACATTACACACTACTGGCCCAAGCACTGCCAGTATTACACACTACTGATCTTTGCACTCCGTACTGTACATGCTATTGATCACTGCACTCTGTGCATTATGAACTCCTAATTCCTGCATGCTGAGTGCTACATACTCCTGATCCTTACATTTTGCTCATTAAATGCTCCTGACCACTGGCATGCTGTACATTACATCCCCCTGACTCTTGCATGCTGTATATTACATACTCCTGACCTTGGTGCATTATATACTCCTGACCCTTGCCCTCTGTGCACTAGGCTGTACATATTCACCTGACATCTGCACTATATATACTACATTGTATATTGCATATGTCATATTTTATGAGTACAAGGCCTGGGGTATATGAGGGAGTAGGTTTAGGTATTATATAACCAAGCCTCTTTTAGCCCCTTTCACTGGCCAATGTGACCACATTCACCATTGCTTCTTTAAGAGTGCCCAAGGGTACAGTACCCTACTTATCCATTGGACTGCCCAGGCTAAGAAAGAACTGCCATACTGCTTATTGTATACTATGCATATTGTTTTTACAAATGATACGCACTTGTTTAAAGCTCCCCTGCTAATTTCATGATTATTTAATTGGCATATTATCCTAAGAGTGGGGACTGCAACAGAATACATCTTTGCAGCAGATTAAGGAAGAATTAGAAGCTATGTCACGTTATTATTATTGTCCACCTCTCCCTGCACCATTGACAATCAATTTCTTGCCTTGCTTGTTAAAGAAAAACAAAATGAGATGGGTGTCTCCACAGCGGGGTCACAGACCGCAGAAAAAAAATTAACAGACGTATGTACTTTTTCCAGCTCTATCCAAAATAAATATTCAAGCCCTGCCTGATTCTTGTCTCCTAAATGTTTCCTCCACTGTGTTCCCATTACATATGTGCTTCCAGTGCAGACTATAAGCAAGAGAGAAAACACTCCTGGTCCACCATCCACATGTTTCGAACTACACTAGCGCTTGCTCAAAGCAGACTTATAAGTAAGAGTTAGTGTTGTGTAAAACATGTCAGCAGGTCATCCTGCTCCTCTGCTGCTTTTTCCTTGCTGCTTTTACCCTAATTGGTGACCGTCCAGAGAATATAAGCAGTTGTGCCATCACACTCCACTCAGGAATGTTCCACCAATTTATCATCTCCAAGTCCATCCTTGGCAATGGTGTGTAGCCTCTGCTACAGGGCATGCTTGTTAACAGGAACTGAAAGAGGTTTGAGGAGACCAGCAGCACTACAATGCTAAAAAAAAAGGTGAAACTGACTTTTCTAAAACAAAACAATTGCAACTGTTAATCATTGTTACTGATACAGTGTTTAGCAAAATAATGGTTATCTAGAGCTAGTAGCCAGCTCTTGGGATCGGTCTTGGAAACTTCCAATTGATTAAGTCCTACCACTATATTGCAATCTTGTGCTTGGCAACTTGTGCCATATATCCCATACACAGATTAGAGCACATCAGTGACTTCTGGGAACAAGCAAGCATGTTTCTCACTTGCAAAATGTCACTACATCTGCTAAAGGTGTTGGATAACAGGGTAATTGTTTTTCATTTTACAAGCTCAAAACATACATCTGAAAATGTAATTCCTATTCCACTTCCAAGGCCATTTTTATATTGACCAGCTACTTTAGGAGATTACAGGAATGCATTGCATCATTGTAAGCAATGTTTCCACCTCACTAAAACCCAGTTTTGACTTGAAATAGTGCTTAGGACAAAGCTATCCTCCTTTCACTATAATGCTTTTCCTGTAACCATGCAAGGAAAACTATGACTTGCTGTCCATAATCTGGCAGTGCCTAACCCATTTGTTTTCCTGGGGTTTAACTTATTGAAGCTTATTTATATTACAATATTGATTATCTGTGAGAACCATTCTTCACTGTCCCAAACTACTCACGGAACAATTCACATCCAGCAGCCGTAAACTGCACAGAGAAGGTGCTGCAGAAAAACTGCTGCACATTGAATTTAAAGCAAGTTGTTTTAAACATTTAGAAAGGAATTTCATTCACTGCAAGTCTGAATATAAATTCAAGATTTCCACATGAATGTTATTACAGGCAAATATATCTCTGTGGATTTTTTGCACAGTTCAATAATGCATTTGCATGAGTGAAAATAGATCGGTCTTTGCATTTTTGAAGCATTCATGTTTTCAGACAGGTACAACACTGAGTGATTTAGATTGTCATAGCAGGATTTAAAAGGAATATAGTCTGTTTAATGTTTTTTTTTTTAGATATACTTGCAAAAGAAGTGAGTTGGATGTTAAAAATCTTATCAGTATGTGTTAACAGTTTTGAGCCAAGCTACTCTTTCATATTTAATTTTTAATCTCTTCCTTCTGGCTGTATGCATATTTGCGGCTTTAACACCGAGAGACCACATATATGAGGCCCTATGTAAACATCTTTTTGTGCTGAGTGTGCGCACCCTGCATGCACCCAGCACAGTTAATGAAGGGTACTGGAAAGCTGACTTGCGACTGAGAGATTTCCAATTATGTGGCCGCTGTGACTACCAATCAAAGTGGTTACATGATGGAATGTCCGCCTCCGCCTCCCAGCATGTAGAACCTCTTAAAGGGTCGGGAGGTGGCGACGGCAAAGGATTAAAGACACTTTACTGATGGGAAGGGTTCCAACTGACTGGTGTAAAGCAGGGGTCTCTAAACTTTCTAAACAAAGGGCCAGTTTACTGTCCTTCGGTCTTTAGGGGGGATGGACTGTGCCCAGTGGGAGAAAACAATGCCCAGTCTTTGGTATTAGGAGGAGAAATCATTGGTGTTAGTTGCAGGAAGAGTGCTCCATTGTTGGTGTCAGTGGAAGAA